AAAAAAAAAAAAAAAAAAAAAGACTGCCTATAGCCAAAACCCCACATGATTACACTGAGCATCAATGGGTTTAATTCTGTCAAAATAAAGTGTTCTCCAGGTACTTACTCGCCACCGTTATGCAAGACAGGTGCTGGACAGAGAATAAACTTTGATTCCACTTGTATTGCTTTTTCATCTGCAAAACAAAACATTACATGAGCTACATATATTGCACTGCTTAGTCAGATGAGAAACTAGAATGTCTGAATATGATGCAGCCTAATTTTCTTCAAAAAACTTTGCCTACTGGTCTGGTTCAAAGTTCATCTGACTTCTAGGCCTTAAAAGCAACTAAAACTCTAATTCAAGAAAGCACTTAGGTGTGTTTATATCCAAATCTCTACAAGACAACAGACAAATCATAACTAAACTGTAAATATAAGCTGAAGTCCCGTTAAGCTTAAGTATCCTTCAGGATAGTGATGATTTCCCTAAGTCATAGCTTTAATGAGAAGGTGCTTTTGCTAATACTGTATTGTTAGAGAGTCACTAATAATTAAAAGACAAATGGCTGCTTCTAATGAGCAGGTGTGCACTCCTAACCTCTACACATTATATTCAATAGGAATTACAGAAACCACCTAAAATGTCATACATTTCTGTGGCATTTCCCATGCTGCAACATGTCTAAGCACTTTCAAAAACATGGCTATTTTATGAAGCACTTATTTTTATCCCAAACCAAAGCTTGCTACCATAATATCAGGCTGTTTCTTGCTGGTCTGCAAGAAGAACACAGAAAGAAAAATCCCCTGAGCACTTGTGCAGCAACAGGGTGCAACTGTAGTCCTTCTATACACCTATCTGCATGCCAAAGACCCAAAAGTTTGTGGGAAGGGGTAGAAAAGACTGTTGCTCCAATCCCCATAGATGCTGCCCTGAGGCATGCAGGCAATAGGTACTAAGAACTCCAGGAGAGATTCTGACTCTTGGAAACAGTCACACTTATTCCACCTGTTTGGCAATCCTGTTCATCAGCCACAGAAGTACTCTTACACTGGGAATGTTGATTAAAAGGTCCACAAACAGGCAATATCCATTCTGCTGTGGTAAGCCCAGGGCAGCTCTTTCCTGAACTTAAAAGGGCCAGATATGCAAGTGCTTAAGAAGCACATTTGGGAAAGGAGTTGTTAAGCCATGGAGATTTACTTTTCCTCTGTATATGGTTCTTTCTTTGCCAACTTGTAATGCTAGAAATGAGTTAGTAGTTGTGTATGTGTGCATCTCAGTTGGAGAAGTGGGGTGTGCACTGCCATATGCTTCTGTCTTAATGGTAATTTACATAGATTGTTTTTTATTCCACTGTTATGTCTGGCAGGTTTACTTTTCAGCATTTGGTAATGGTTCTTTACAAATGTTACATAAGACATCTGCCAAAATACAGTATCTAACCCCAAAAGAACCTACAAGCTTACTGCTTGTGCTGCAACCACCCTGACAGGGAACTCCAAGTTAACAGAGGCTGCCCCATACCAAGAGCTCGATTTTATCACTGCTATTCCCACTGAACAATATGCATTAGATCCACTTGGCTTGCAAGTGGTGGGATTTTACTGAGAAAAGTGCTTTGTTCTCTTCTGGGTTTTTTTTTTTTTTTTGGGTTTTTTTTTTTTTTGGGTTTTTTTTTTTTTTGGGTTTTTTTTTTTTTTGGGTTTTTTTTTTTTTTGGGTTTTTTTTTTTTTTGGGTTTTTTTTTTTTTTGGGTTTTTTTTTTTTTTGGGTTTTTTTTTTTTTTGGGTTTTTTTTTTTTTTGGGTTATTTTTTTTTTTTTTTAAATAAAAAAATCTGCTGCAAAGCATGTGCCAGGTATTTTGGTGAATGTGTGCATTTAATGAAAGAGGACAAAAGGAAAAAGAAGGAAAAATGATAGTGGGATAAAAAGCTATTGGGGCATAGCTGCCTGCGTGATGGGTCCCTGGCAGCATCTTTAATGAGACTGCCCTCCTCTTCTAGCTGCCCATGCTCAGAACACTGCCCCCAGGTTTTAGGTTGTCATTCTCTTCTGTTGGGTTGTGGTTTGACTGACTGTCCCTGATACCTCTGCTAAAATTAGGTAAAAGGAAAGGAGACTTGACCAGAAATTTTCTAACAGATGCTGCCAAGACTTCTGGAGGAAGGGGTTCACTGTCTGTTATGCTGCAACATGTGCCAACACTGACACTGCGGCCACTGGCTGCATCTACACAAGTGGCGGACTGCACAGTTGTTACTGCGCATTTAGTACATGCATAACCCAGTATTAAATGACTGTGCAGTAACTAGCATTACGGCACAGTAGCATCCCTGGCATGGATTTATTCAGATGCAACTACACAGTAGCTCATTACTACTGCACAGTAGCATTGCATTATGGTTAGTGCCCACCAACACTACTGCATGGTAGTGTCTCATGTAGATACACCTAGTGGGATGTAATATGCTATTACATTCTGTTTTAATAATATTTTCCATCTACTTTGCACAGGTATAAGCAATGACACAATATGCAATGCAGTTGGTGTCAGAGTCCTGCTGTTTAATGCTGGTTTGATAAGCAACTGGTAAATCTAGAAGAGTTATTTGGATCTGATGCCAGGAATTAGTAGCATTCAAGCCACTGCACGTTGGTAGCATTGTCAGCAATAAATACTAAGTAGTTAGCTACAGCATTAATCCCCAAAGAAAATGATGAACAATGTGAAGATTGCAAAAAAAATTTTGAAATATCTTCATAATCACAAAATACACACAGGTCCCTACTTATTAGCTTCCAAAAGAAATTTTCAAACCACTGTATGGCTCTTAAATAGAGTCATAGAAGTAGGGTCAGAAGGGACCTTGTAGATCTTCAAGTCCGACCCCCCGCC